CACCCCACACGAGTCTGGGAGCCAGGGGTCTCTGTGACCAACCCCAGGGGAGCAGGCCCACAATGTGAGTGGGGGGCACCGGGCCAGCCCCACTGCCCCAGGACAGACCCTTGCCCACTGGGAAGCCTGCCTCCAATTTTCCACCTCAAATCAGAGTCATCTTCCCCAGAATGCCATTCAGCCGTGGCCAAGTGGAACTGACGTTGTGTCCCAGAGCCTCCAGGAGCTCCTAACGAGATCTTGACTGGAACCCGGCTTTAAACATTCCTCACAGCGGGTGATTGGGTCTTGATTTGCTGGATGCGTTTGGCTGAGTCACCGTCCCCAAACAATATGAGAAATAAAACGCTGCCCACGCTCGGATGGCCAGGAGGCGCCTCCTGATCCGCGGGGCCAATTACACGGGCCACTCCCTGCAAGCGGGCCCCACGCCCCCCGAGGAAGGTGCTGCTTGGGAACAGAAGGTGGACAGGCCCCTCGACAGAGACGCTGTGTGGTGCCAGGCCCTGCGCAGGAAGGAGGTGGGCTGGTCAGGGCCACCGTGCAAGTGGGAAAACTGAGGCGTGAAGAGCAAGGAGCCCTGCCAAGTTCACACGGAGGGCAAGGCAGACCTGGGGGCAGGAGCCGGGCTGTCTGCTTGATGCTCGAGCTGTGTGCGTGCTGGACCCGGCTCTGCCATAAGCATCCTGCCCCTCAGAACATGACTGTATTGGGAGACAAGGCCTTTAAGAACTGATTAAGTCAAAATAAGGCCATTGGGGTGGGCCCTGATGCATCGGGGTGGCCTTAGAGGAAGAGGACATGCGGCCCCACAGAGAGACCCCAGGAACGCACATGCACCGGGGAAAGGCCACCTGAGGACGGACGGAGTGCACCATGGACAGAAAGGCCTCTGGAGAAAACAGCTCTGCTGGCACATCGATCTCACACTTCCATCCTCTGGAGCTGAGAGAAATAAATGTCTGTTTGTTTTAACCACCCAGTCTGGGGTACTTTGTTATAGCAGCAGCCCCGTGCTGATACACCAATGGCCACCGGTTCACACCTGTTGTTGCTGAGACCTCCTGTGCTCCTGCAGATCTCAGAGCTCTCTTATGTCCATGTCACAATTGGGCCACGAGACCCTTTGCAGCCACCAAGGACCCTGTCCCCAGGGTCTTCCTCCCTAAGCTCACAAGGGTGCCATCTTATCTGGAGCCTGGCCTCACCTGTGCCTGGGTCCTCAACACTCAGGGATACATAGACCTCACTCCCAAGGGAACCCCCAACTGTTTCTCTACCAGCCCCTGCTGCCTTATGTAACCCAAGGCATTTGGAACAAAGTCAGGAGGCCATCCACCAGCCGCAGGCTTTCTGGGGCATGGAAGAACAAGATCAAACTCCCACTGACAGGGGATGGAGAAGAAGGTGAAGTTCAGGAAGGAAAAGACACAATTACCATCTCAAAATATTATCCTGTCTGCCACAAATGACCCCTTGTAGGGCATGTCTTGATCCTCACATGTTTTCATGAAGACCAAGTTTGCTGGGGTACCTGGGTGGCTCAGTTGGTTAAGCATCTGCTTAAGCATGGGCTCAGGTCATGATCCCGGGGTCCTGAGATCGAGCCCCGCATCTGGCTCCCTGTAGGGAGCCTGCTTCTCCCTCTGCCTGTGTCTCTGCCTCTCTCTGTGTGTCTCATGAATAAATAAAAACTTGAAGAAGAAGAAGAAGAAGAAGAAGAAGAAGAAGAAGAAGAAGAAGAAGAAGAAGAAGAAGGAGAAGAAGAAGAAGAAGAAAGAAGAAGAAGCCGCCAGTTGGTTGAAGTCCAGTGCTGGTACAGCAGCACCACTATCATTAGGGACAGGGCTTGTCATTTTGTGTATGTGAGCATCCTAATGAATAGCTTCCCAAAGTCACCTCATCATCCAGGATGGCTGCTGGAGTGTCCATCTACATCCCAGGAAGAAGGAAGGACAAAGCCAGGAGGACCAAAGAGCAGAGCTCCTAGCTGAGTTGGCTCCCTTTAAGCAGTCTGTGCTAAAGAAAGTGTCTCATACTTCTGCTAACATCCCACTGAGCAGAACTCAGTCACATACGTGACTGCAAAGGGCCAGGGAACCTTACCTTATACCAGGGTGCTTCACCAAACCACAAAACATCGGGGCGTGGTTACTAAGAGAGGGAAAATGGGTATTAGGTGGCAACCGGTCATCTGCTAGCCCGAGTCACTCTGAGGGACTTGAAGGTCAGAGAGAAGACATGACTGCCCAGGATCCAGAGCCCGGGAGCAGCAGCAGTCGGGAAGTTAGACTGGAGCTTGGGTCACATATGGTCAACTCCATCACCATACCCAAGCTTCCAGAACCCCCCACATTTGGCATAGTGCTTGTTACCATCCAGATACAGCACACAGAATGTGAGCCTAGCAGAACAGAAGTGAGCAGGGCTTTTCAGGAAAATTTAAAAATGTGAGGCCCCCGGTAGGTGAGGCTGTACTGGTAGGAGTTAAAACCGGCACAGCTGCTTTGATGAGGGTGCTGGTTCAGATTAGGTTCCACTGCTAGAGAAAAACCCAAAGTGGTTTCAACAAAGTAGACATTTATTTCTCACTCATCTTCAAAAAGTCATCCTAAGGTATTGAAAGTCCAAGGCTATTGTGGATGCACCAGGGTCAGGGTATGGGCTCCTTCAATCTTGTTGCGCTTCCATGAGAGGCTTCCATGCCCAAGTCACTCTGATTCCAGATGGCTGCTCTGATGCCAGCCGGTGCAACCACATCCTGGGCAGCAGGAAGGACAGAGCCTGTCCATCCTCCATAAGGAAGTCACATGCATGCTTGCATCCCATTGGCCAGAACTTAGTCACACGGCTACAACCACCTGCAGGGATGGCTGGAAAATGTAGTCTTGTTCCAGGAAGCTGTGTACCCAGCTTTAAAAAAAATCAGGGATTCGGGGATCCCTGGGTGGCGCAGCGGTTTGGCGCCTGCCTTTGGCCCAGGGCGCGATCCTGGAGACCCGGGATCGAATCCCACGTCAGGCTCCCGGTGCATGGAGCCTGCTTCTCCCTCTGCCTGTGTCTCTGCCTCTCTCTCTCTCTCTGTATGACTATCATAAATAAATAAAAATTTTTTAAAAAATCCATATTTATGGGAAAGTATCATTTAAAAAAAATCAGGGATTCTATTACAATGGAAGAAAAGGAGGACACATTGGAGGACAGCTATTAGTCTCCGCCAGAACACTGTGAGACTAATTAAAACTAATTAAGACTGTATGCTCCAGTAATTCCACGTGCATGAGTTACCAAAAGCATATTTATAAGGATTTTTGTCACTGCATGGTCTGTTGTTGCAAAATGTATCAGGAACAAAAGTCCATCCCGAGGGGACTGGTTAACTAAATTGCCATATATCCATAATGTATGCAGCTGCCGGAGCGCAGCAGCTCTGCTACCTGACACAGAATGATCCCAAGATCAAGTGTCAAGTGAAGAAAAAATATCTACAGAACATCTACACTCCCAGAACAGGAGTAATATACGTACACGTGTGAACACACACAGGCACCTGTGGATGCTTCTGGGGCAGGGGGTGGAACAACTGAATGAATGTCAGGGCAGGGCGGATACCCACATTCCAACATATACCTCCCCGCACGAACTTCTTTTGCCATTTACATATTACTTATTAAAGAACAACTTTAAGATCAGAACAAAAAGTAGCAGGCTCCTAGCCTCTTTTCTCCTACTGGGGCCTCCCCGTTGACACGGCTGTTTGCTCAGGCACTGAGCAAACCCAGGCTGTCACTCCAGCCTCTTGGGTGGCACAAGTGTCCACGGCTGCTGGTACTGAGTGCAGCTCTGGACTGGCCTGTCCAGTCCTCCCCATCTGGCCAACACTTGCCCTGCTGGGAATGGCCTGCGGGCCTCCTGCCCCCACCCACCAGGCTTCCGGGAATGCTCTGAGAAGGAAACTCTTGGTGGCCCCGTGGTCCCAGTGGGCTCAGGGGGAGGGGGGCCCAGCAACCTGCCTGTACCTTTGCACTTGGTCTTGCCTGTGCCCATTGACAGGCCTCTGGGCCCCGGATGCAGGGGAGCATGGCACACAGGCCCCACAGTCACGAGCCGCATTGGAGCTGGTGCCCTTCACATTCTGCCGCAAAAGAGGGCTGGCATTGGAGGCGGGTGTCAGGCCTGACCCTCAGCAGTCTCGTGGCCCCGAGACCTCTTTGTCTCTGGCAGTGGGAATGACATACCTGGCACCTCCCTTCTTCTCCAGCTACCCAAAGACTCAAGGCCGAGCTGAGCTACAGTGGCAGCAACATGGGGCACATGGCACCTCCCTCCTCTTGTTTGCAGCTCGCTTTTTTCTGGCTGAGGCCCGTTTTTAGCTTATTCCGATTCTTACTATGTCAGTCCCTGTTATCCTACCTTCTGAGTGCCTATCACGTGGCAAGCTTGACTCTAGGGGCCAAACACAATAGCGTTATCACTACTGTCCCATTCGCATCTGCAGCAACTCCTGCTACTTCTAAGTCTTTACACCAGCCCCCACAAGACACGCCTTCTTGTCCCCATGTTACGGATGAGGAGCTGGAGCTGGGGTGGGGAAGCGGCCCGTCCAGGAGGGCAGAGCAGAAGTTGCAGAGAAAGGGTGGGACCTGCAGGGCTCACTCCAAACCCCAGGCTCCCCCGGGGGGGGGGGGGGAGACGGCAGCTCACAGAACCGTGGTTCACTTTACACATCCATCTTGTCTGCTCCAACGGGGCCCAGGAGATGGAGCCCTGGAATCCAACTGCCCTCCCCACCACCACTTCCCCAGCAGCCAGCCTGAGGCCTGTGCACGGGCCAGGGTTCCTCCACTGAGCAAACGAAGGAGCCCAGAGCCTCCCAGGGCTCAGGATGCAAAGGGACCTGTCCGGACCTCTCATCATTGCCTATTCTCGCCCCAGCGCTCAGGCTCCCAAGAGGAACTGGCCTGAGTATTCCTGCAGAACCTCCACAGCTGCACCTCCTGGTCCTTTTGTTTTTTTATTAAAAAATAGGTCAAGAAAATATACACACATCAGCCCACCTGCCAGAGTGGGCTTTGAGGAGGCCAAAGCGCCATGGGGAGGAGGCAGAAGGGTGAGAAGGGCCAGAGCAGTCCTGGGTGCCCAGGCTTTGGAAAAAGGAGGTGCCCTCAGCTGGCCTAGCCAGGCCTGGCCCTGGGAGATCAGGGTGTGGGCCACGTTGCTGAGCAGGGAGACAACAGGTGGAAGGAAGGTGGAAGGCGGAGGCAGCCCCCAGCTAGAGCAGAGGTGGCTAAAGGCACCTGGGAGCACAGAGGGCAAGACAGGGCTGGCATGGGCTCCTGCCCACAGAAGGTCCCATGACCTCGTCCTCCTCACCAGGGGCTTCACACTCGGCCTGCCCTCCATAGACCCCCGCAGGCCTTCCAGCCATGGTGGCCACACTTAGGTATTGATGGCCTTCCAGCGCTCACTGTCCGTGCTATTGATGCTGCCAGTGTGGCAGGGCATGGAAGCAATGTCGTCCAGGTAGGCCACCCCACCGGCAGAGTCAAACTGGGTGCTGGCAGCTCCTGCTGTCTCCAGGCCCTCCCGCCGGGCCACAGCGTAGGGCTGGGGCAGGTGCATGTCCGGTTCCTCAGTCTCGTCCACTTGGCATTTGTAGGAGAAGAGGATCTTGGGCTCCGAGCTGGTGGGGAAGAGAGAGGGAGAGGGGGGTCCCATGTGTGGTCAGGGAAGACTTCCTTCTCTGAACAATAAGGCTTGCTGCCTAACGGCCACCTGGAGCTCCCCAAAGCTTGGACTCTGGACTCCAATGGGACTTGTTTTATTTTTTAATTTTTTTAAATTTTTTATTTATTTATGATAGTCACAGAGAGAGGCAGAGACACAGGCAGAGGGAGAGGGAGAAGCAGGCTCCATGCACCGGAAGCCCGACGTGGGATTCGATCCCGGGTCTCCAGGATTGCGCCCTGGGCCAAGGGCAGGCACCAAACCGCTGCGCCACCCAGGGATCCCTAATGGGACTTGTTTTAAAACTCAGCCCTTGTGTGAGTGTGGGCAAGGACTTCTGTGCCTGCTCCTCACTGTAAAATGGGTGCAACTCTGACCTCAAGCCTCTTAGCAGAGGGCAGAACAGAGGCAAACTCTGGCCTGAGGTGCTCAGCAAACACCAGCTGCAACCTCCACCCTTGCAGCCTTTATGACCATAGGATAACTCTGACAGGGAAGCACTGCACCCAATTTTCAAAAGGAACCTGAGGCCAGGGAGATGAATGCATGTGCAAGTCATGCCCAATCTAGCCCATCACCCCACCTCTGATGGCCTCTCTCGGCTTTACCCCCTTGGATTCCCCACCACCTCCTCAGACCCACCACTCCTGTCACCTCAGAGGCCCAGGCTCCAACCCTCCATCCCATATATCCCTAACATCCTGTCTCCTTAACAAACCTCCAAACACACGTGTGCACCAAAGTGCACTTCACCGTATGCTCCCCTACAACACCCACCCCCCACATCCCTGCCCCTCTCCCCAGCCACTCCCAGCTCAAGTCCGTGGGTGTGAATGTGGTGATCTGTGTCTTCTTTGTTCCCTGTCGTACCTGGCAGCTGCAGCAATGCCCAACACCTAATAGGTGCCAGTGAATGCTCACTCAGAGAATGAGCTAATGTATTCTAACACGAAAAGTAGCAAATGTAGAACAATTTGCATAGACACTCTCTTGTGGGGAAAGTGTGTCTATTTGTGTTGCATACGGAATGTGTATATGTATGTGTGTGTATGCATAGACGTGTGTGCACATGCATGAGTGCATACGTACATGTGTGTGCACATGTGCGCACATGAGTGCATATGTACATACGTGTGTGCACACGCATGAGTGCGTACGTAGGTACGTGTGTGCATGTGCTTGAGTGTGTATGTAGATACGTGCGTGTGCACACACATGAGTGCATATGTAGATATGTGTGTGTGCACACACATGAGTGCATACAGATGTGTGTGCACGTGCATGAGTGTGTATGTACGTGTGCATATAAGCATACATACATATGTGTATGTGCATGAGTGCATATGTAGATACATGTGTGTGCACGCACATGAGTCCGTGTGTATATACGTGTGTACACACACATGTATGTATGTATATACATGTGTGCGTGTGCGAGTACGTAAATACGTGTGCGCACACGCATGTGTGCATGCATATATACGTGTGTGCATGTGCATCTGTGCAGAGATACGTGTGTGCACATATAGGAGTGCGTATATAGATACATGTGTGTGCACACATAAGTGTGTACGTAGATATGTGTGTGCACGAATACGTACATACGTGTGTGCATATATGCGTATACATAAGAGTGTGCATGCACATGAGTACATACGTAGATACGTATGTGTGTGTGCATATGTAGATATGTGTGTACACACATGTGTGTACGTAGATATGTGTGTATGCACATGCATGTGTGCCAACGTATATGTGTGTGCACATGCATGTGTGTAGATACACGTGTGTGCATGTGCGTGTGTATGTAGATACATGTGTGTGCACGTGCATGAGTATGTACATAGATACGTGTGTGCATATGTAGACGTGTGTGCACGTGCATGTGTGTACGTATATACATGTGTGTGCACACGAGTGCGTGTGTAGATACATACGTGTGTGCACGCGCATGTGTGCATACGTATACGTGTGTGTGCACATGTAGGTAGAGACACACTTCATGCGCTGAGTCCTGCCGGATATCTGACCCTGAACTGGGAATACAGGCTGAAGAAACTGAAGCCGTGGATGTGCAGGCGCAGGAAGCTGGGGTGCAGTCCTGCCTGCAGCCACACGGGGGCGCCCGCGGCCCTCAAACCACCAGGTGCCCGGCGTTGAGCAGGGTGCTGGCTCCCACCCCTGTCCTGCGCCCCCTGCCTGCACGCCGCCGCCCCCCCCCCACGCCCCCACTCCCGTTCCCGTGAGAAGACTCACCCAAAGAAGCCCCGGAGGAAGGCCACGTAGATGAGGGGCGCAAAGAAGCTGAAGTAGAGAAATGTGGTGACATCTACACAGCTGCAGGGCAGGAGGAGCAGTCAGGGAGCGGCCCCTCTAGATGGGACCCCGGCTTGGCCTCCCCACCGTCCGCCGTCCCACCTACCAGAGCCCCTCGATGATGTCTGCGCAGAGCAGCGCGCTTCCCAGTCCCTGCAGCAGGTTGAGCAGTGCCAGGATAGCCGCATACACATAGAAGCTCCGTCGCGCTGGGGGGCGGGGGGCCATGAGCTCCTGCCCTCACCTCCACCCTTCATCCCCAGCGTGTCACCTGAGACCCTTCTGGGGCCTCAGCAGGGCACCCTCCCTCTCACCAAGGGCTCTGCAGCAGGGGAGTCACAGTGGTCCAAACAGACCCCTGCCCCGCACCCAGCCCTATCCCAGAGCCACCCACCAGCTGCTTACACGGCAGGGAGATGCGCTCCTTCAGCGGGGTCTTGGGGAGCATGACCACCAGAGAGTAGACCTGCAGACACAAAGCAGGATTGAGGATGCTGGGGACCCCGGGCCCAGAGCAAGCCCAATACCAGGACATCTAGGCCTCCGCCTTAGGCTCGGAGGCTCATCCAGCCACCCCAGGGTGCCGAGGCCTGGGAAGCAGGGAGGGCACCCTCAGCCTCACCAGGAAGAAGAAGCAGGAGCTGACCAGCCAGAACTGGCGGCCCCCATGCCCGTAGATGTTGAAGTCCTCAGCAGACAGGTGGGCATCAGGGTACAGGATCTCCAGTGTCCCCTGTGGGGGCAGGTGGGGAGGGGTCTCAGTCTCCTGCCACCTGGGGGCCCCTGATACAAAGCACCCAGAGCTCTCCACCACCCCAAGCCCAGCTCCCCAGCCAGGCCTTCGGAGTTCCCTGCTCCCTGCCCGCCTAGCTCCTGGGGCTGGGACAGGGCTGGGACAGGACTGGGCAAGACATAGTCCCTGTCACATCTAAGCAAGGAGTCTCCAGATGTATAGCTCTCAGTGGGGTCTGCACACCTGTATGTCCCCTACCTGGGCTGCCTGTCACTACAGCAGGTTCTAGGCATCCTCCCCCCACCAGCCTGGCCTATTGGATTGGACTTGGGGCTGCATGGGGGTGAGGGGGCAGACCCTGCCTTGTTAGCAAGCACCCCAGGTGATTCTAGGCGCATTTAAAGTTTGATAGCACTGCACCTAATAAACATTCAAATCCGGGCCCAGAACCAGGGAGCGGTGGATGCATGGCCCTCAGTGACCCCTGGCCTCCTCCTGGGGCCCCCACAGCTGCAGCTGCCCCACTTCCCCTCTCACCTGGGTGACAGAGTAGGCCAGGGACAGCACCGTGGTGATGGCCAGCACCCGCTTGATGCTTGACTTGCTCTCCAGGTGACCTGGAAGAAACGTGCTGGTCAGTGAGTGGGAGCTAGCCTGTGACCACTGGGGTCGGTGCCCGCTAGGGAGGGACGGGGAGAGCGCTGGCCCCAGCAGCACACGCACCAAAGGCAAGGCCCAGGATGACCACACTCAGCTCGATGGCCAACAGGAAGAAGCGGGTAATCTCCCACAGGATCTGGACACAGAGTGGGCAGAGGGTCAGCCTGGGGGCCTGGCCACCCCGCTCCCCAGCGCCCCCGTCCCCGCCCTTGTCGGCAGGCCCGGCCACACCTTATCAGCAACAGTCGCAGCGTCCGAGGTGCTGACTGTCATGGACACCACGGCCCGGGCGATGCCCACCAGCGCCACCACGAACACCTGGTGGGCGAGAGTGAGGAGGCCATTATGGGGTCAGGGACAAGACCTCTGGGAATTGCAGGGCCTCTGCAGGAGTCTTGGATTCTTTGAGAATGGAAAAATTCCAAAATAAAAGAGTCAGGAGTGGGATGTGGAGGTGGGGAGATCCTCCACTGCTGGGGACCTCGGGCCTGGCCCTTCCCTCTCGGGCCTCAGTTTCCTGGCTCAGTGGCAGCCCTGGAATGGTTAGCAGGTATGCTGTGGACGGCTCAAACGCCAACCCTGCTGCTCCTGGCGTCTCTGACCTCAGCCGAGGACCCACACCTCCATGCCTGCCACTTCCTCACCTATGAAATGGGGCAAAACTAGCACGTACTGTATCTGATGGTTGGGAGGAGCGAATGGATAAGTACATGTAGCAGAAGGATGCCTGGCACCTGGTAAGGGCTAGGCACATGCTTGCCTTTAGTGTCATATTAGCCCTCTTATTTCCAAGACAAGGGGGGAGGAGGCTGCAGGGAAGAAGCCTTCAGGGACTCGGAAAGGCCCCAGCACGTCTAGCAGAAGTGCCTGTGCTCAGCTTCGGCGGATCTTGTCGCCCCAGGATCCACTCCCTTCCTCTGGCAACAGCCTCCTTCCTCTCCCGACCGCTCACATGACTCGGGGGGCTGACACCCCCCTCCTGGCTTCAGGGACTGGCCTGTAACCCAGGGTTGACCGTTTGGCACATGCCATTCCCTGATTTGCGGAGGGGGGTGGGACCCAAGGGAGTCTAGTAATAGGCACAGCCAGGACACCAGGTGCAGCCACTGGAAAAGGAAGCTGGGGGCGGGGGGGGGGGTAGAGGCCCAAGCCCAGAGCTGCTGGGGCTGCCCAGCTCCACCAGCATGAGACTGCTAGAGACATGGCCATCAGAGAGACTCCAGCTGAGCGGGAGACAAAGACTGTACCCCCATAGCCTCCCAGAGCCCCTGAATCCAGCCATGCCTGAAGCCCTGGGACTTGTCAGATTCTCTATCAATATACGTTCCTTACAGCTTCTGTGAATTTAACTTTGATTTTCTGACACATACAAACAGAAGAGTCCAAATCCATACATGGTCTGTGCTTTGTGCCACAAAAACCATGTCGAGGCCTTGGGGAGGCTGACGCCACTCAACAGGGCAGGTTGTAGGAGCAACAAACTGCCATGTGCCTACTGTATGCCAAGCTGCCACCGAGCTAGAGCTACACACGATGTATTCTGTGGTGCTCGTGGGAGTGCCACAAGCTAACGCAGGCCCAGCACACATGACACGGGAAGGGAAGGCCAAGCCCCGGGTCCAAGGTCACTCAGCACAGCCGAGGTTCGCGGCAGTCTGCATGAGTCTGTGCTCAGCACTGTCTCCTGAGCTCTCTAGAAAGAAGTCTCCCGAAATAAGAGAGCAGAGGCAGTGCTGGCCCTCTCTCATGTTCCTGGGCATTGGCCCTGGGCCCCTTCTCCCTCCACGCTCTGCCAGAAGGGCATCTGTCTGTCTGCTGTATCTGTTACATAAATACAGTCACGAGTCAGAGAAGTGGGGGAGAGAAGAAAGAAGGCCTCAATGGCCACCCTGGGGGGGGGGGTTCCAGGTGGCCAGCAGTCCCTGGGGCCTCCACCAGCAGCCTCCAGGGGGTCCCCGCAGCCTCGCCTGCTCGCCCACTGGTAACTCCTCTGAGAAGTGCTGAGCCAGGCCATGAAGAGGAGGCCCAGAGAGCCAGAGCTGAGGCAGAGGGGAGGACTCCAGAGCCAGACAGCTGGACCCCGCACCTGGAGCCCATTCCTGGGTGGCCTTCTCAACCACAGCCCTGCCACCTCCACCTTGGGCAGCCCACATTGGGGCCGCTGAATGATGAGAACTTGGGTCCTCCCAACAGGCAAGAAGTCTGCTCCAAGGAGGTCTCACAGAATGTGGGGATGGATGGCTGGATGGACAGATGGAAGTGGCAGTGGGCATCCTTCCAGCAGCCAGCATCTCCTCCCCCGCCCTCTATGAAGGACTCCCCAGTTTTCCTCCAGGGACCACCCCCCCTCAGTCCACATGGTCTGGCTCAACCGACCCCACCCTCCCTGCAGGGCACAGTGACTGGCTCAGGGAGCAACCCAAGGTGGGCCAGTGAGAGGGAACCTTCCAGGTCTCCACCAGCAGCACCAGGACAGAGGTCCTCTTCCGCTGGCGCTGGCAGGGAGGCGGGATGTTAGCTCACAGCTGCTCTTGGCTATGTTGGACAGCAGGCAGGAAGAGCAGAGATGCAGAGAAACAGAGCCCTGATGGTGTCCATCAACCCCCAGATCCAGCCACGTCTGAGGCTGGTTTTCAAGACAGAAGCAGTTACTGATTCCCTTTTTTTAACCTAAGCCAGTTGGAGCTGGGTTTCTTTCACCAGTTGCAGTGAACTCACCAGGATATAGAAGGTGATAAAAATGGGGCTGGAGGTGACACGGATCTTGGCCCGAGCGAATGGAAGCTTCCAGAGCAGGAAGATGAAGAAGAGCACATTGGGGATGAGCAGCAAGAGGTCCCAGTACCGGACCCTAGCAGATGGGCACAGAAGCCAGCTGACCGGTAAGGTCACCCCGACTACCACCCACCACACATGCACACATGCAGGCATGCACACACGCACACCCACACGCATGGGGGAAGCCCACTTACACGCAGCCAGCCTGCCCTGCAGGGCCGTGGCCACCTCACCTGGAGGTGCCGATATCCTCGTAGAGCAGCAGCAGACAGCGATGTGGCACACTGATGTTGGGTGCCATGGGTGGGGGCAGGGCTGTACTCCCATTGGCCCAAATCACCTCTTCCGGGGTGTCCATCCCACGAGCAGCCAGCCCTGGGGGAGTGACAGCCCCCACGTGAGGAGTGCCAGGGCTGTGTGTCCGTGGGGTCCCTGGTCCCAGGTTCCTAGTGGAACCTGAGAGCCACGACCTACATTGGGCTGGTGGGCCACACCCCCCACAGCAGGCAGAGGGTGAGCTGTGGCTCCCACACATGCCATAGCACAGTCCCCAGACAGGGGCTCAGTCCTCTACCTTGGCCTATCTCATGACCCCCAAACAGTAAACGCCACCCCCAGTAACGGAGCCTTCCCCTCTGACGGGCACAGCAAAGCAAGCTACTCAGCGTGACCCGAGTTCATCCCTCTGATCCTGGGGACTCAGGGGACAGGGAGCAGAGGGGTGAGGAGCCCCTGGAATGGGGCTAACAGCAGTGTCCACCCTGGAGGCTGTAGTGGGCACTGATGTGACATCTAGCACCTCCTACAGCCCACCCATGGCAGTCCTGAGTCCGGACCACACAGCCAATATAGGGCCCAGAGATAATGGTGTGCATCACACAGCCACCCAGCGCCAGAGGGGGCGTCACACACACCTCCGGTGGACCACCGCCCTGTCATCCTCTGCTGCCACCCTGGAAAGGGAGATACAAATAGGGGACCGGGGGACATGCACTGTGCCAAGGAGATACACAGGAAGTCTGTAGGCAGAGGAGAGGGAAGGAGAGGCACTACAGAGGGGGCCACCATAGAGGGGGCCACTGCAGAGAGAGCTGTGTCTGCAAAGGCAGGGATAGGGGCTGCGAGGAGAAATGGGAGTCAGCAGGGAGGCCAAGGGCCTCAAAATGAGAGGTTAAGAGTCCAGCCTAGGGGCACCTGGGTGGCTCAGCAGTTGAGCCTCTGCCTTCGGCTCAGAGTGTGACCCGGGGGTCCTGGGATCAAGTTCCACATTGGGCTCCCTGCAGAGAGCCTGCTTCTCCCTCTGCCTGTGTCTCTGCCTCCCTCTCTGAAGGCTCTCATGAATAAATAAATAAATAATCTTAAAAAAAAATAAAAACAGAGTCCAGCCTAGAAGATAGGAGAGCCAGTGGCCTGGGGCACTGGGAGCCACCTTGGACAAGGTGGGCTCCAGGCTGCTGGGCTCTCAGGGATAGAAGGAGCTGGGCCCATACAGACAGCAGCAGGGACCTCCTCAGGGAGCTGAGGGGGTGCAGGGCAGGTAAGCTAGGCATGGCACCAGGACATAATAGATGCTAGCATTAAAGTGATGACTTGTGGGCAGCCCCGGTGGCCCAGTGGTTTAGCGCCACCTTCGGCCCGGAGTGTGATCCTGGAGACCCGGGATCGAGTCCCACATCGGGCTCCCTGCATGGAGCCTGCCTCTGCCTCTCTCTCTCTCTCTCTCTCTCTCTCTCTGTCTCTCATGAATAAATAAATAAGATCTTTAAAAAATTAATTAAAAAATAATAAAGTGATGACTTGAACAGATTAGGCCTTATGACTTGGCATCTCCATTCCTGGGTACATTTGTAACAGCCCCAGGCTAGCAACAGCCCAGATGCCCATATCAGTGTACACACACATACATGGCGGTGCTTGGGTACACAGTGCAATGGAGAAGAAAGGACAGGCTACTGCTGTGGGCAGCACCATGGAAGGGCCTCCCGGATATGGTGCTGAGCAGGGCCAGCCACAGGTACACACATGTGGTCTGCCCCACGCAAAGATTCAGGTGAGGGTCACCTTTGTGGAGGAGGGAGGGCATGGGGGGAGCGGAGGGGACCAGAGCTGCTGGTGCTTGATCGGGGCGGGGGGAGGTGTACATAGGCATGCTCCCCGTGGCAGAATCCATTGAGTCATCCACCTATGATCTGTGCACCTTTCCGTATGGGTTACTTGTCAGTAAGTTTTAAAAATATTAGAAAGATGTGTTCTGTTTATACTTCAAGAGCACATGTCTCCCGTTTGGCAAGGAGCAGCCAGGCTGCTCAGGCCCTGTTGGCAAGGACCCCCAGCCAGCCCGGAACAGCCACAGGTCCAGGGCAAGGGCTGCGGGGGACGCAGCAACATCCTTGCTGCCGTTCCAAGCCATGAAACATGAGCACTACCCCTGGCCAAAAGGGAGTGGGGACTGAAGCAGGTGGGCAGAGACCTGGGATTCAGATCCCTTTGTCCTTCTCTGCAGGCCACTTGATGGCTCTGGGATCACACCCTCATCTGTGACCGGAGGGAAACGTGCCTAACACATAGTAGGTCCACAGAAAAAAAGGCATTCCTCACAAGTTCCCCCACCCGCAGCAGCCTCCTAGGAGCAGGGGATGAGTCTAGGAGCTGGCACACGCCTGCCCTGGGAGGCTGTCATTCCAGGAGGGGAGGCAGCCAGCCAGCAGGAAAACCAAGTTAACAGAAGAGTGCATGGAACAAACACTAACACAATACAGGGTCCCCGTAATCCACCTTCCCCTTTAGTGCTGGAGCCCATGGATTTTAGCTCACACACAGCTTCCCAGAATAATGGCTACTTTCCAAGTTTCCCTTGCTACTGGCTATGACCACATGACTGAATTTTATCCAATGGGAAATGAGTGGTTAATTTAACAAGTTGGTCAATTTCAGGCCACGCATGTCTCCTTTCCTGTTGCCTGGAATAGGGATGTGGTGGCAAGAGCAACAGCAGCCATCTTAGACCACAAGACTGAAACCATGTACTGAGGATAACACAGCAATGAGTGTCCGGGTCCCAGACCCAATGGGCCTCCAGGAATATCCTGGATAGCCTGCACACAGACTGTCATGCGATACATAGGAATAACCTACCTTGTTATCTTGACCTTTGTTTCAACAGCTAAGCGAAAACCTCAATGAATATAAAGAGGTGCTGCTTTGGACTGGATTATTGGACAAGCTGACATGTGCACTAGATCTAAATAATTGAGAAAGAACCAGACTTTGGGGACGCCTGGGTGGCTCAGTCAGTTGGGTGTCTGCCTCCAGCTAGGGTCATGATCCTGGGGTCCTGGGACTGAGCCCCACATCTGGCTTCCTGCTCAGCGGGAAATCTGCTTCCTCTCTCTCCCTCTGCCCCTCCCCTAACTTGAGCATGCTCAGTGTCTATCAAATAAATAAAATCTTTTTAAAAATAAAAATAAATTAAAAAATAAAAAGAATCAGACTTGGAAAAATCTGGACAAAGAGCACACCTGGGGAGAGAAGAACAAATGCCAATGCCATGAGGTACATACAAACAGGCGTGGTCTGTCCAAAGGGCAAAAAGCAGGCCAGTGTGGCTAGAGGTGAGATCAGAAGGGTTGGCAGGGCCAGGTTACACACACAGCAATATGACCACATGCGATGTGATTCCATCCTAAATGCAATGAGAAGGGTGTCATGGGGCAGCCCGGGTGGCTCAGTGGTTTAGCGCCTGCCTTCAGCCCAGGGTGTGATCCTGGAGACCCGGGGTCGAGTCCCACGTCGGGCTCCCTGCATGGAGCCTGCTTCTCCCTCTGCCTGTGTCTCTGCCTCTCTCTTTCTCTGTGTCTTGTGAATAAATAAATAATCTTTTTTAAAAAATTTTAAAATTAAAAAAGAGAGAGAGAAGGGTGTCAAGAAGGCAGGTGACAGGGTCCCATTTCCATGCAGAGAACCACTCAGGCTCCTGTGGAACACGGAGCAGAGCAGCGGCAGAGTGGGGGCAGGGAGATGGGCAGCCACCGTACCATCGCAGCGGGAGGACATGGCTTGACCACTGGTTGTAGCGGGCATGGAGTGGAGGGATCTGGGTCAGCCAACCCGACCAGCCCACAGACACACCAAGGGAATGAGGAAAGAGAGCAAGGATGCGGTGGCTTCTGGCCGGAGCCGCTGGATATTTTGCAATGGCTAGGCAAATGCTGATGTGTCCCCACCAAGCACTGCCACCTCCTCCCTAGCTAGCAAGGGGCTATTTTATTCCAGGACCCCCTCCACGATGCCCTGCTGCACAGGCAGGGGCCCCTGTCCTGGGCCAGAAGCTGAATCTCAATTACCGTAAGCCAGTGGCCTTGGGCAGGGGCCATGCGGAAGAGTACTGGACACCCCAGCAGCACACAGGGTGCTCCAGCTTGACACCGGGACTGTGGGGGTGGGACTCTGGCTTAGCTATTGAAACAAAGGTCAGGATAACAAGGTAGAAGATTAGTCCTGCGTATAGCACGCCAGTCTGTCTATGATTTCTCATGGACAGTGGCCACGGCTGCCAAATGTCCTGCAGCCTGTGGGACCATTCACCAACTGGATGATCATCTTCCCCTCTGCCAACAGTGCCCTGGAGAGGGCCTGTCAGAAAGGGTGTTCTCCTCGCCGGCAGCTAGGTTAGGCAAGGACATGTGAAGAAATAGGGGGGAAGTCTCCCAAGAAACGTTTTCCTTGCTGACCGTTAGACATCCTCAAGCCCCTTCTTTGCACCTGCAAGTAGCTGTTGATGGTTTGATGTCTGAACTGCAGCCATGCTGAGCATGGGGAGGCTACAGCTGGCAGGGGCTGTGGCACCCCCCTCAAAACTTCTAGTAACCTAAAATGATGACTCGTAAGTGACTGGCGTCAAAGGAGAGAGATTCCACAGCCCCTGGAGCAAACTTCTGGCCCCAGCAGCCCAACACCAGCTCTGGCCTAGGGCAGGGTGTCCAGCAGCGAGTGTGGGCCAGGAGGGGCAGGCCCCAAAGAGCAGGCCAAGCACCCAGCAGCCACTGAGAAGCTTAGAGGTCCCTTGTGATGTAAAGAAGCCAGCAGGGAGGACCAGGGCCAAGGAGCAGGGGAGACTCAGGCAGAGAGTCTGAAGGGGGAAGCATCATTTGGTTTTGCCTGTCCAAGCACCTCATTTTTCCTGAGTGGGGGGGACTCTCAGCTCCCCCGGTCTCTGTCCATGAATGAAGCTGAGGTTCAGCTGACTCAAGCCCTTCACAACTCTGAGGAGTGTGCATGGGATCTAAGCCTGCCCAATCGGGGTGCTCCACCGCCCTGGCCAGCGAGAATCTGCCCTGAGACTTTTGCTGTCATTGTTAGGAACAGATGCCCTTTCCACTAAAAGTGTCATAGCATTGTACGGAGCTGTACCACTTTGACCCCACACATGGCTACCCACCTGAGGACAAAGCCAACATAGAGGAATGACAGGTGAAAATACATCCCTCATGTGAGCCCGTGGACACATAGCCACACCTGAAGTTAGACCTACCCCTGGACTCCCTTTTTAGTTATAAAATCCGACAAATTCCCTTCTCCGCTGAGGTCCTATTGAGACTGATTTCTCTAATTCACTAATGAAAAGCTTCCGGCTAACACATTTTACGGAGTTGGGCAGATCTGGGTTGCACTTCTGGCTCTGCTATGTGACCTTGTGTGAGTCATTTCTCTCGGAGTATCACAGGGACAATAACACCTACGCAACAAAGTTGTAAAGATCAAACATAAATGCCTACACGATGTCACACCAACATAATTGCTGCTTTTTTTTTTTTCTTCCCAGAGAAGGGCCTGGTGGATGTAGAGGGAAGAAGGATCTGGTTCCTAATGCAAGGGCCCCTTTCAAAGGACAGTACCAACTGTTCTCCTGCCACCGGTGCTCCTGCTGACTTGGTGGCAGCAGCAGAGCACATTCACTGAGCCCTCCCACCCAGCTAGTGAGGGAAGTACTCTGGTTACTCTCACGGACAAAGTGGGGGGCCCCACCAGCCACCTGCCAGGTTGTCATCTCCAGTGCCCAGGCCCCCAAGTGGCAACTTGCCAACCACCCCTCTGTGGGCATCGGTTTCTCCACCTATAGATGGAAGGCTCTGGGCTCCGCCTGGAGCCATGCCTCTCCCACCTGAGTGTCTTGAGGCCGTGCAGGTTCTGATCCAGCTGGCCTGGGGAGGGGCTGACAGGCCACATTGCTAATACGATCCCAGTTGGGGCCTGCCGCTCTGCTGGTCAGAGAAACACTGTTGGCTTATGAGGCTCTTGGCCATACCAGATTGCCAGTGTGTGTCAAAGACTGTAAAATAACTAAAGCAATGATAAAATAAAATAAAATAATAAAATAATAAAATAAATAAAATAAAATAATAAAATAAAATAATAATAAAATAAATAATAAAATAAAAATTAAATAAAATAAATAAATAAAATATAAAATAAAATAAAATAAATAAAATAAAATAAAATAAAATAAAATAAAAGCACACCACCTGCAGACCCAGAACTAAGCACGTTACGTGTGGTGACACACTTACCTATCACACCAGCCCCTACATAAGAGGAGAACAACTCTTACGACCATTGTACAGAGGGGGAAAGGAGAGGCACAAAAGGGATAAGTCGCTGGCCCCATATTCTCCTCCCCGACCTAGGGCGAGCTCCCGGGCTTGGGGGCAGAAGCCTGGGTGGTAACAGAGAAGGAAGGGGTCCGCAGGCTCAGGCATGGGGACAGATGATGGGACGGGACAGAAGATGGTGGGAAGGCTGGCTGAGGGCAAGGGAAAGAAGGGGCAGAGGCCAGACTTGAGGGAAGGGAATTCTCAGAGGAGTTTCTGGGATGCTGAGTGGCCTAAGGCAACCCCAGACCTCTCAGAACCAGAGAAACTGGGACAGACTGTTTCTTCCACCTGGGAGGGACTCTCCTGACCTTGTTAACATTCCAGAGGCCATCTTCCCACCCACCACTGGGGCCTCCAACTCCCTCCCTCCCTCCATGGCCAGCCTATGGGGCAGGACACCAGGAAGGCTCCCATCACGGTGCCAGACCTGCAAGGAGCCCCTGGACAGGATCCTCCCTTCTCTGAGCCTTTTCCATCTTTCATCTGTGCAACGGGATTGACCAGGACCGCATGGAAAACCCCAGGAAGATAGAAAGCCTTGAGCAAAACAGAGAGGTTATATTTCCTAGTTGCTATACGGCCCCGCAGTGCTCCTGACCCCTAGCAGATTGTTAGGCTTCTAAACTCTGGAACCAGAACAGAATAAGAAGGCTACATAGGACAGAGGCCAACCCCTCACCCTTCAGCCTTGGGGGTGGGAGGAGGTAGATGCAGTCCTAGACAGGCCACTCCTGGTGCCCTGCCAGCAGCCAGGGCACGACACCCCCCCCCCCCAGGAGGAAGGGAAGACCTGGGCCCCTTCCCTCACCCTTCAAAGCCCAACCTGATCTGCCCCTGCCTTCCATCCTCCAGCCCCTGACCTCCACCTTGCTCTCCTCGCTGCTACGCGTCCTCTCACCTCAGGGCCCTTGTGCTGGCTGGCCCCTCTACCGTTCAGGGCCCTCCTTGACCATCTCTCACAGCTAGCCTGCCCTGTATCTTCTTTACAGCATTTGGCCTCCATTAGACCTGGCCCTTGCTGTACGTTTATGTGTTTGCTGGCTGCCGGCCCCAGGCGTGCTCATGACCCAAAGCCCTAGAACAGCGCCTGGCACTGAGTAAGTTCTCAACAAAACGTTAGATGCGGACAGATGAATCTCCAGCAGAGTGCAGCCAAGCCCTCTGGGCAGTAGGAGAAGGACCGCTGGAAGGACCCCACAGCCCCATCCGCACCACAGAGGAAGCAGCGCTCCGGGCCTCCCAGAAGGCCCCTCCTGCAACAGCAGCCCCAGCGCCTAAACCACAGCTCCCCTGCCCTCTGGGGCTGCGGAAGGCCACAGCGAGCTGGAGGCAGGTCCTGCCCGGCTGTCCGTGGACGGGGGCACAGCCCCGACGCAGGGCCGCAGAGCCCAGGTCTCCTCCTGCACGGCCGCGAGCCGCAGGGTCCCCGGCCCTCCAGCCGGCCCCCCGGCCCCCCGAGCGCCCGGCCACCGCGTCGCCTCTTCCTGGAAGCCCTCACCCAGGGGCCGCCTGGCCCTCGGAGACTTCCCCACGGGCCCCCGCGGCTGTGCCCTGAGCGGACGGGGGTCGCTCCGGGGGCAGGGGCGGCGACAGGTGGGCTGGTCCGGCAGCCCCCGGCTCCCCGCGGCTGTCGCAGCGGGTCACTAGCTGTCTCCGGGCTCGGGAGCTCCCGGCCAGGGAGGGCCTGCGGACGCGGCAGAGGCGGGGGCGTCCCTGGAGCGCTGGTCCCGCGCGGCAACACGGTGGCGGAGGCCGACCCCGCGGCGACCGGGGGGGGGGCGGAGAGGGCCCCCTCCTTACCTGAGGGCCCCGGGCCGAGCTCAGGCCCCGCCGCCTGGGTCGCTCATCCGCCAGCGCAGTGAGCCGACCTGGCACAGGCCCGG